GTGAGCGTTACTCAATGACGTCGCTTCATCCTTCAATTGCTTGAAGACGTCATCAGCCGCACCTTTACCTGGCGAGTTAGCATCGTACAGCAATACCTATTGACAAATTAACAACTAATTATTGTGAGTTATGCAGTCTGCAGCCATGTAGACAATATTGTTTTACTAACAATATTGGCTACATGACTGCACTACTAACTAATAGTTGTCTTTTCTTTTTGTTTTTCATGTATTTTGCCACAAATGTCCTGGAAGATTGGCAATAGGCCTTGGTGCCTCGGTCGCCATAGTCAACAGGGCGGAGTGAAACTCGGCGTATCTGTCGCTGATTCTGTGTAAATTCTTAATTATTTGAATAAAAATGTATTACAATATTTTTCAATTAAAAAAATTTTAATGTATTCAAAAAATATTTTATTTGAAATCTGTCACCGTTGACTTTTATTCGAAAAGGTTGACTACAGTCTTTGCTATCGGCATAATAATTACCTATATAACCTTACTTTTTATGGGTTTCTCCATCTCGATTTCCTTCCACATGCATGTATAATAAATTTAAATGATCCTATTTCGATTAAACACTGACTTGTGTTTTTTTTTTAAGTTATTTTATTTGAAAATATTATTTCTTATTAATATTTTGCATCATTGTTATTTCTCTGTACTTACGTGGTATATTCAAATCCAGTTGAATGCAATGAAAGTAGTTATATTATAGCTCTTGGCTATTAAACTACTGTGGACACACTATTCTTAAATTAAAATGTACTTCTGTGATATTTCAACTATTACATTATAACACGTTTTCTTATTAAGTATTCGATGTTAAGATAAATTATGTATAGCCGATACATCATAGTAATTATGTTTTGAATAATATAAAATATCGATATAAAAGTAAACGTATATAATAACAACCATAGGTCGACCTTAGACGGTACAATGGCCATATAATAGGACGTTTCATCGGCAACCTGTGTTTATCGTTTGGTCAATATTAAGACATTTTCAAGTATGAAGTATAATCATACTCGTCGTTTTAAATTATTCATGTCTACTGAAAACGACCTTGTGTGGTTTGTATTCTCGAAGATACGTCCATATATTTATTATTTATATTGACTTGTTTCGGAATTCTTCAAAGTGCAGCCTTTAAGATGTAACTTACAAGAATTCCGAAACATTGGCAGACAAATCGAAATAAAAAAAATATGAGAATACCCTTGAATTAACCTCATGCATTAGTTTCAGGTGCTTTCCACACGCTTCTGCTTGATCCGCAGAATTATAGAGGGTTCTAACTTCTATTGTTATCCTAAACATTTATTTTCCAATGTTCTAAGTCCATGTCCGATGTCCATTCAATCTACACTCTACCACGTGGTAAGGAGTAACGTTACCCCTTACAACATTCGCCTGCATTAGTGGGTCCAGGTGGGTCTTTATAATTAAGCTCTATCACGTTGGACATTGGCGCGGCACTATAATAAAACACTCGCTATTGCGCTCGCCTGCTTGTTACAAACTAGAGTATTATTTTAAATACTGTTCATTAAAATGTATGTAACATTGAACTGTATAGAAAATACAATAGCCATCATAATTTGAATAACTTTGATAGCTTTATTACTTTTGTTGTTATGACAATATGACCTATAAATAACTTTCTTAACTAACTTTCTTAGAAATCAGAATAAACGTATTGATACCTCGTACTTGCTTATTAGTTATTACCTATTATATGCGAATACGCGTCGACCAGTTTCAAAAATAACTTAATTATTATCTAATTCGATAAACAAATTCGTTTACCGAGTCTATGCACGATTTTCTCAGTAAATACCGAACGAATTTTATTCTAGTTTTCACTGATAAAAAGAGTGTTTCACGAGGATAGTTTAAACATAATTTGTGAGTACTTTGTGGCAATTGTATGTAATACTCCGGGTGAAGCCGGGTATATGGGAAGCTGTTAGTAATGTAAAACGTCAACTCATGTTGAGTTGTATAGTTATAAATACTCAAACATAGAAACATATAATAATAATTGAATTACATTTAAATGATAATAAGTATTAAATATATAGTTATGAAATATTTATTTTATTAGTAATTATAACATAAAATATAATATTGTACCTATAAAAAACTAAAAAAAGTATAATACATAACCTACTAAGTAGAAGGCTACAAAATGAACATGTAGTTTCTTATTTTTATAATTATGTGTTACCTCCCTTTTTTACTTTTATACAATCCAATATGAATTTGGGATCATTTATAAATATTTAATTGATAATGCATTAGATTTTTCTTTTGCGACTATTTTTTTTTATACTTATGATCCTCGTTTTAATATGTATTATAGTATATATATGTATTACATGTTTCTTTAGCTCGCTACGTACGTACGTTTGTACGGGTATTTTTCAAATCTTGCAAAATTAATTTAACCCACTTCCCGATGTCGTATAGGGCTGAAACTTGGCACAGGCACTCGTCTTAGATGGCAATACAATATCCTGTAATTATATTGGGACTCGGACATCCAGGTCGCCCTACACAGGGTCAAATGTGGGGATCATTTCACTAAAATTTCATGTTTTTTTTCAAATCTTCCAAAATTAATTTAGTAATCTATACAGCAATTATTATATACCTTTAATAGGACTAAAAAGTAAAAAAATAAAATAAATACATTTAAAAAAAACTTTTTTAAAAACATGCTTTTCTAAAAAAAAAAATAGTAAAAAGTAAAAAATAATTGTATTACAAGAACAATTTACCAATCAATTGTAGCATATTTTATTTAAAATGTCATTTACTTTGAAAACAACCGAAAATTAACTCAAATTTTAAATAATTTTAAATATCTTTAATTTTTGACTAAAAAGAAAACTGTGGGCCCTATTCAACAAAGTCCCTAATAAATTTATCAGATATTGTTTTATATTGAAAGTTCTTTTGTAATTTAAATTTAATTTAATATTTGTGTGTGACACATACATTTCATAATACTTAACTCAATGAATTTAGACTTTGTTGAATAGGGCCCACGCTTTTCTTTTTAGTCAAAAATTAAAGATGTTTAAAATTATTTAAAATATTAGTTAATTTTCGGTTGTTTTCAAAGTAATTGACATTTTAAATAAAATATGCTACAATTGATTGGAAAATTGTTCTTGTAATACAATTGTTTTTTACTTTTTACTATTTTTTTTTTAGAAAAGCATGTTTTTAAAAAAGTTTTTTTTAAATTTATTTATTTGTGTAAATAAAAAGCCAATTTCAAATGTTTAGGTTATAGAATTAGGTAGACGTGATCCTTTGGATACCATTAATAACCCTTTAAATTATGCACCTGACAATTTTATGCGTGAAAAATAAGTCATAATGTAGACCGTAAAATTAATTGTATTTTATTATATATTTATATATCAATACATATTATTATATACCTATAAATGTAAAAAAAGTTGTAATTATTTTTTATGTCAATTATAATTGAAACTATTTTATACTTTACTTAAACAATAACCTATATGTATAAATGTACTTAAATTATACTTTTTATTATAGTTGTAAATTAAATTTATTTTTATTTTTAAATGTATCGTTATTTACTATAATAATACATATAAAATTACCACACTAGATTTAAGTCGATTTCACTATTTTTAGCTAAATTACAGCAAGTCTGTGTAAAAAAAATATAACTAGTAACTTTTTTAAACTATTTAAATATTAGTACAATTATATTTTATACTAAATATAATTTAAAGTTAATAAATACAATTTAAACTAATTCGTTTTTTAATATGTAGTGATTTTATTATGTGAAATTAAGTTATTTTTGAAACTGGTCGACGCGTACTCGCATAGAATAGGTAATAAGTAAGTACGAAGTACCAATACGTTTATCCAACAATGATACATTATTACAACAAGAGTAATAAAGCTATCAAAATGATTCAAACTATGTTGGATATTGTATTTTTTATTCTGTTCGTTGTTTCATAAATTTTAATAAACAGTAGCTATACTATTCGAGAATGCGCGCGAGCTTGTGTAATAACACAGTGCCGCCGCTAACGCCTACCGGTCATTTTTTTTTGTGTTTTAACATTTTTGGGGGAAGAAGTAGATTTTTCCAAATCTTCTTAACCCTCTATGTACCAACTATGTCCAATTACTGATCGATTGATGTGCCACTCGCGTAAATCGGTACAGCGGTTTAAAAGTTAAAGTAGTTCAAAGTTAAAGGTACTGCGTACGGATAGCACAGCACAGCTCACCTAACCCGGACCGGGCTAAAAATCAGTATTTTAGAATACTATAAAGTAGGTAACAGAAATAATATCGGATATCGATCGCCACAAACTGGCACTAATAACTACTAAAATTTGACTAAAACATGTCTCAGGATATGCAATTTTCTGAGAAACTAAGTGGTTTTAGCGCATACTTGCTTATTAACAAAATTAAAGATGAAGAGTTTATCTACATATTAACAAAGGTTTTTTTCGATAAAATGTTTTAAAACGAAGATATACGCTATTGAAAAATGAAAACTTCAAAGATCTATAACTCGGTTCCTAGTAACATAATCGAAAAAAACCTATGTTAATATGTAGATAAACTTCTAATCTTTAATTTTGTTTATTAGCAAGTATACGCTAAACCCACTCGGTTTCCCAGAAAATTGCATATCCTGAGACATGTTTTACGCGCCGAAAAAAAGTGGTGTGACGCCCTCTTAATAGTGAAGAGTGCTATGAATACCACTTTGTTAGTATTTAGCGGCATTAAAACATTTTACTTATTGGACTTGGGTTTATTAGAGCGAAGATATCAAACATATAAACGTTGGATAAAACTGTATAAGCACAATATATCAATAATTAAAAGAAATTCTTAACCTAATAGAAATCTGTTTACTAATTATTGTGTTTCTTCGTCACAAGTGATGAAATAAAATGACAATTTCCGTTGTCTATGGTGTTGGTATGGTCAGAACACTAATTCCAGATTTCTTCTAGTCTTATTTATGCTTATTGCTAAGGCTCAGTTTGATGCAGTTGCCTCAATACCATGTAATAAGTGTAAAGGGCTTTGACGAACTATAAACATACAATATATTAGCGTTATTCTGCTTGACCCGCATAAAGTTTTACAAGTCGACTTACAGCAATAAACGATTTAAAGCACAATTTGTACATGTAGAATCCGTTTATTGATGTCTGTTCGTTCGATCTGGCGATCATCAACGTTAACAACCCACGAACTTGCTTATCGGCTCGCCACCAAGGTACGTTGTAAAGTGAAGTCCTTACACTCATTTGCTTATGAAACAGTACATCGTAAAGTATTAGAGGCACCTCTTAAGGGTCGATCAGTGTTACCGACACAAAAAAATCAAATCAATTATGTTACCAGCCACCTTTTGGATGAGGTATTCGCCGAAGAAATTGTTGAGAAACTGATGTCCAAGACTCACAGCTATGAAACAAATTAGAGCAATCTTTTCGCTGACGCCTACACTTATCTGTAAACAAAACACGGTACTTTATATTTTATTCGAAATAAAGTCATGGCGCCGTTGTAGATGCCATTGAGAAGCCAAAAGGTTTTGCGTAAACGGTTTTGTGATCTAACACTTAAAATCCTGACAATAATCAACGGTTAGCTATTAGAATAGTCAACTTGGTCAATCGCCATCACACTTACGCCTGACTAGAATACAATTTAGTTTGAACTCATTACATTTTCTCAGTTCTCTTGTCTCGCTGTTGGATGTTTGGATTTTTTAAATTTGAAATCATTTGTCAGTGCATATATTTTGTTCAACGTGACTCGTAAACACCTCTTATAGGCTATAATTAGATTTTATTGAGATAACAGCATACACTTACTGTCGTTTGAAACATGGCAAACGTCAAAGATGTTATTCCGTGCAGATAATCGACAAGTATGGGCAAGCTGAACATAACTCTTAGTTTTCTTATATACCTGAAAATTTATAATAAATATTTGTTTTTAATTTTGATAGAATCGTTCTGAGTTACTTTAAAGTTTTAAATAGATTACTAAACTTTAAAATAATAATATGATGTTTGATGCATTGCACAATCATAGAACTCAATTGATTTTGTTGATCTTTTTCGAATTTCATAGCTGATTTTTGGTCGTCTCCATCTGTTGAAATATAGATGTAATATTAATTGTGAATATTTGGATACTATTCAATCCAATTAAACGGTCACATGAAATACTACATGGTTTAATTATTTACCAGAGACTAATGCCTTTTCAATGTTGTCCAACGACGCGTTAAGCAATTCGATTTGACCGCCCACTGAGTACACGGCGCAAAACATGAATGAATCAATGCCTAAGTAGACGTTGGTTATGCCTACCAACGCAAGGGCATGCAAGAAGAAGATACCGTTGAAAACCCAACGCTCTTTTACCGTGAACGGCATCCAGACGCATATAGGATAGCTTTTGGGGTCGTTGAAATAAACCAAATCCGATCGGCCGCTAAAAAAAAACATTTTTTATTGTAGAAAATATGTTATATGCGAAAACTTATCGCGTTCAGTCGACGAAGTGCCTGATTTTTAGTAATTTGCACTGATTTAGCGCTGCGAGTACTTTTCTACGATTTTTCAAATACTCTCAATGGATTTATTTAGCATTATAAAATGGAACGCCAGTCGTAAGACAGTAAATCATTATTGAACTATACCATGTCTTAGAAATCTGCATTTACATCTCGAGTTATTTTAAATGGTATATTTTTTCAATCAAAGTCGAATTTACGTTGCCACCCTCCCTGTATGCCGGTGTCTTTGGGTAGTGAAGCAAATGGGAAACAATCTCAGAAAGAGAAATCTCGTGACGACCCAAGTGTTTAGTTTAACTAAAAACAAAATGTGCTCGATTTTACTAAAATTGCTTCACTTATAATATATTTATTTGAGTTATTGGGTGTATTACTGAATTTCCTGGAAAATGATATACAACCGTATCTACAGTTATAGGACTTTTGTCTTTTTTGTTATTTAAAACTGTATGAGTACAAATACTTAAGTGTACAATACATACATATTCTCTGGGTATATAAGTAGTCTTGTGTAAGCCAAGCCCTACCCCTCCCAATTTTTTCGCCACAGTATTTCTACTATTCGACACGCCGAGTTAATCTAACTTAAACTGGCACTTTGGTATTTACTTTTGAGGATAATTCAGCAAAGGATTTATCGTCAATAATAGATCGGCGCAGAGGCCACACAGTAGATAGATGACCGTGGTCTGTCTGACCGGCTCCATGTAATCGGCGGTGAACCGTTGAGCTCTCCTGCCATACGATATCAGCCCTTGGGTCTGGATTGCCATCAGGTTGGTGTTGAACTCCATGAAGTCGTCGCTACTTCTGACCATGCAATACCACTTGAAGATGCCAGAGACGAACATGGTCCACAAGTCGATGGTGCGGGCGACCATTGTCAGGTCGGGGGCCACCAACAGCTGTACGGTTGTGGCAAATGCAAATATCGAGACAATCGAGATGAACAGTATGCGGTAGCCCGTGTAAGCCCGGCAGAGAGTCGGGGACGAAGATGGTTTCGCGGGTGGGAATATACCGATCCATTTGAGAACGTTCACCTGTAATTCGAGATAACTCATGTCGGCGCTTTATGCCAGTATTGGCAGTAAACCTGTACAGCTAACGAACTGAGTAAAATAAAAGCCAAAATCCAAAACTACAGTGGCGATTAAGTTACTACCTTTTGCTGCTGTAATATACGTCTTATAAATTATGCTACGTCTGTGGACAGTTCCGCCTCTTTTGTATATTTGGGTTTTGTTGTTCGTCGAAATTACATAGTATTAAACTGATTTCAACGAACTCGGCCAATCGAATTAATATGTGATTACCAATATATTGGTATCGTGTATATAATATGTTTTATACATAATAACCGTTTTTGATTTTTTAGAGCTACCTCAAAGGTTTTGGACTCGTATAATGACCGGGTGCATATTATTATGTTTGCTGATTTGAATGCCCGATGTCATTTTTCCCATGGTGTTCGCGTAATTCGTTTAATACATTTATAATGATTTTGTGGTCAAAAGTGAAACACGGCTTAATATTAATTATGGTATGATTATGATGAGTATAGATAAAATACCAATCGCCATTGGCTCGTCTAAAGGGGGACTGGAGAAATTCAGACCCTTTAAACAATTTGATTTGAATATCATTAAGGGCATTTGCTGTAAAAATCTTAAACCTTTCCTGGCTTTGCTAAAACGACACAAGAGTTTTTCTTGGTGCTAAGTTTTATTCTGAAAGTGCAACATAAAGTACTACAATTGCGGTTACCAATGATCGAGAGCGTCTAGAAGAAATTCCACAGTCTTGCTAATTGCCTCGACAATTTCTATTCTCCTCGAGTGATTACAATATCTTGACCTTCGCGTGGGTAGACTAGCCTTGGTAAATCGTCAACTTGCAAACGTATTATTTTCTAATTCAAAGTTCCACCACTGTCACTGTCAACAGTCCATCTGTCCCTTTCCGCATATCTTATACTCCCTAGCTGACCTAACTTACGAACACCTCTTTTCCACTGTGCCAGCCAGTGAGTCTTAAATATTTCTAATTGTTATTGTACTGAACTTTATTTTCAGGTTCGTCCCGTGCACATATAAAAAAAAATACTCATTCCTAATAATTCTTTCTTACCTGTATTCCCCTTCTAAAAGACACGGGATTACATAATTTATATTATTTGATAGCTGTTATAGAACCAGGGTTATTTAATAGATAGTTTGAACAATAAAAAAATATTATGAGAAATGGTTTGTAAATTGATCAAAATAAAATAACTTCATATATTGATTTATGGTTACCACTCTACAATTTAGTCGAAATGCTAGTCTATAATTAGGACTTGTATTGGCCGATATATCGAATAAATAAAAACTCAAGTCAAATTATCAGAACGCTAACTAATTCTGAATATATTTTTCTATATAATATCCTTTTTTGTATTATAACATTTTAAATACACTAAGCAAATAATGTTATATTGGTTTATCGTTTTAAAGTGAACGAAATAAATCAACACTGAAGTCAATCGCTTTTGGATTAAAAGTGACAAAAACATGTATACAACCAAATTAAATTTATTATAAATATATTTGTTAGGAAAAACATATGTATAAAAAATATTTACGTAACAATTATCACTATAATTTTCATTAAAATTACATAATTAAAAAAATATACGAGTTGTTTCACACAACCTTAAATCTACAAAAATTAGTATGTCACTTAAAATGTATGAAAAAATAACATGTTTAGTAGTTATATAAAATATTTTTTTCTAATACCTAATAGTTTTTCGAGAATCTTTTCTAATTCCCCCGGTCAAAAAAATGTTCGCCTCTTATCTATAATTGTTAACTTTTCGGTATCACTTTGATTGGTTTTGGTATTCCAAAACAAGCTTGCCTAGGTTTCCTTTTGAACCAGCATTTCGATTTCTAGATCTCAGACAATCCCCGTACAACGTGGCACTTATATGATCTACGATGGCGCCTTCATACAGTTCACATTTCCTCTGCTTGTGCCTCAATCGTAGGCCAGATTCCACAGCTCTAAACATATGACAGTCGCTATGTGCTACAAACATGGCATAAACTGACGGGGAAGTCATATTAGCAGATTTCAAAGACTGACTAGTGGTTTCCGAAGCTAATTGACGGATGTCGCGGTCAGCGTGTACTAACGGAATAATAGATTCCGCACGCTTTCGTGCTAAAATTAAAAAATAAAACATAGTAAATCTAACAAAGCAGTGGCTCACTGTTCGCTTACCAGACACATAATCTTTAGCATAAAACGCTAAATGTTCATAATCAAACGGATCAAAATGACCGTGCGATTTGTTAATATCTAGACTTTGCTGTCTTGGATGTGTCATCAAAGTAGGGTCATATTCTGAAAACGGTATGGCGCTAAAAATCTGCCATTCCATTATGGTATTCATTCTAACCTAATACAAATGATACAAATTCTTGAATTGAATAAAATTGAAAACTATAAATAATTTTTCTCCATTTCCACTCACTCTATTCAAATAATCTTGTCGAATTTCCATTTTAGGTCTAGCCAACATCATTAGAGCATCGGCAGGGAATTTTTTTATCGCTAAATCAAAAAGTGCAAAGTCCAATAATGCGTCTCTGAGGATAACGGTTTTTATGTTTGGCACTCGCACTGAAAGCCAAGCGACTTTTGTTCCGTCTTTCTTGTGAGCGTTACTTAATAACGTCGCTTCATCCTTCAATTGCTTGAAGACGTCATCAGCCGCACCTTTACCTGGCGAGTTAGCATCGTACAGCAATACCTATTGACAAATTAACAACTAATTATTGTAAGTTATGCAGTAATTTAGTCAATACTGCACTACTAACTAATATTACAGTACACTTACAAACATTAACATGGTCTTTTCTTTTTTATCGATGCACACTTGTTTGTACTGTTTTAGAAAGCTAAATGCATCTTGTTTTTCGTGTGAACGTACTGGTAAGAGTATGTGTACTCGCGTATTTTCCGTGACATATGGCACCGGTAACATTTCTACTTTGCCCAAGGTCTTGCTAACTTCAACTCTACATATACATTAGACTTTTAAATAATTTTTATTGTAAAATGACGTTATTTTTATTTCACATACCTTTTCTGAACTAATTTGTCGCCTGAAATGTCACGGAAAATCAAATCTAGCTTATAGTCTAAGCCCCGCGAAGGATCGAATCGTTTGTAGCCATTTGCCATTCGTTCAAATTTTAAATTGCCTGAATATTTCAGCTCCAAATACTCAATACTGTTATTCAAAACATTCTAAGGATGCAAAAAAAAAATGTCAATGATTTCTCCGAAATTAATCAATTAAACTATAATCATTATTACTGGGAGCTTACGTGAATATCGGTAGATTCAGCTTTATTCAAAAGCCGTATGTTACTAAAACGAGAATCCAAGTATAAATGAGTTTCGGTGAAGTGATCCCATTTCAATACGTCGAAACGTGTAGCCGGTGTATTTCCGGGTTGACTACCGACTGGCCAAGAAACTTTGCCAAAACCAGGCGGTTCTAACACAGATTCGGCGGTAATCGATTTTCTCAGTTCTTTAATATCCATGTTGGCTTTTTCTAAATCAATTTTACAAAATGCCAAATGAGTTTTATACATGGCGTCTGCGTTCAACAGCGGATAAACGGTCAAAGCCTGAACAAAGCTCTGCTGTTGGTGTGGTTGATCAAGCACTCGTTTTAAATCGTTAGCTTCCCATAAACGATAACTACTCATGAGGTGACCCTAAACAAAGTTGTAATACATTAATAGACAATAGTAAACGTCTACCAAAATATTTTTAATTTTCTAACTTGTATCGATGTTTGACAAGGAAGATCGAGAGTATGCAGAACACATCGACCAAAATTATCATCGTCTGAATTTGAATAGGCGTTTCTTACACACCAATCGACATTTGGTATCATTTTTCGAATAACTGAATTGCTCAAAAGTATACCAGCATCTGAAAATAATTCATTTTTTATTATAATAAATAGAAAATCAACATAAATACATTTTTAAATATGAAATAAGACATACCTAAGGAGCAGTAATTGGTACCAATGACAGTTCCGCTAGCGTAGACATCCTCACTGACGCTGGTGACGCGCTTCAACAAGTCCATTAATTTGTCAGCTTTTATATACGTATTATCTCTTATCAGCATAAAGAAGTCATATTCGTCCAAATAATTGTCGACGATATATTTTATCATGTGAAAAGGTTTTAAAATAGTCCTGCTATCAGTAAAACCTACTATGCCAGGTATTTTCATAAGAGATACATTCAGCTTGTGTTCAGCAGTTGCGTCAACAAAGAAAATGGTTTTATCAACCCAATGCGTGACAGTTTTGTTGACAGCAACTGCTAATCCGTCAACAGTTGGCTGGCTGGCTAATACACCAACAAATAATTTTTCTCGGATTCCCAGTTCTGTGGAATAATACCTTGGCCGAAGTATAGTCTGTGGGGCTTTGAGCGCTCGCTGAGGCTTTCCGGCTAGATTTATGCGAGGTTCGTATTCATCGTTGATTATGACAGGGTTCGAATCGCTTTTCAGTATTGAAACTGTAAATAAACAACTCGCCTCCAAAAGTGGACCGACGACAAGACTAAATATGAGGCCAATAGTGATGCCAAATATCAGATAAAAGTTTTGGCGTACACGAGCCGAGGAACATAACATTTTGAATCTGAAATTAAATGCAGTAAGAATTGCAAAATATAAAGTAGCTATAATGTTTTGAACCAGTAAAGTCCAGTTTTCCAATTTGAAATTCGAAATTTGTTCAATTTATGACATTAAAGCAGCCACCTCATTTAATATATATATACTTCGTTCATAATGGCTGCATTTTTTATTCATTGTCTTAATCCAAAATATTTCTCCACATACACATAAAATACAAAAATACAAAACTTACATGAATTGTGAAAATTGACAAATTCGGAGATCACTGAACTTATTATTTCATAATGTAGAAAAAACAACCCGGAAATTAATCATAACATTTCAATGAAAAAGAAAATTGTACAGTAGTTAAATTACCTGTTTTAAAACTAATTTTTAATTATGTAGTTAGTAGTGTGTACATTTAACATTTTCAAATTCTCTGTTAAAAAAAAAAAAAATAATACGGATTAAAGATTAGACGACACTGCTGCCCCCTGTTGTCGTGCAAGGAACCATAACAAGTACCTTAAACATAACCTTAAATTGTTTTGATAATCTTTTTCTCAAAAGAAAAACGTTATTGCAAATTAGGTCGGGTTTAAATGAAAATTACTTGTGTTTTCAATCGTTTCGAAGCCGTAAAACCATTTTAATGTAGAAATTTATTGTTTTAAACAACGTTTGTTGTACTGGAAAAGCTCTATTCGATCACGGGAACATATTAGAATGTCAAAAACAATTCGTCATGGAAGAAAATCAATTATTGTTGCTGTTAACGCCTTTTGCCTTGTCAACGGCTAAGTTGTTTTGTTGATTTTAATGTTTACTCGCGTTTGCGTTGGATCGTAAATGACATTTTATAATACGTTTATCATTGTTGTGTTGCAATTTTCGGCTCAAGTACGATCGTTTTTGAAATAAATCCAATTCTCTGCTGTTGTACTCGATACCGTTCGATAGTATTGACCCAAATTGATGTCCTCCCGTTGTGCCATTGACCCACAAATACCAACCAACTAGTACAATGGGTAAGTGGTTCATTAAAAAAAAAAAAAAAACCGTACGCTAAAGCCCTTAGAAAAACACCATAAATCTCATTTGTTTTTATCCAGCGCGTTTTTTTTCAGGCCAAAGTGACAGCCCGGTAAGAGCGTTATGATCGATGCAACGGAAACAAAATGCAACCCGATAAACCAAAGGTCACCGACCTAAATCCGCATTTGCTGTGCGTCCTGTGTGGCGGTTATTTCATTGACGCTACCACCGTGATTGAATGTCTACATTCGTGTAAGTAAATTTGTACGAGTCTGCACGCAAGTGAAATTAATACTTGATTGTTGTTGTTAAGCTACGATCAAAATTATATTATTTGTTTGCGGCAATTGGGCAGTGCCTTTAAACTGGGTTAGTTTATTTTGACATTTCGTTTTCAGTTTGTCGAAGTTGTATTGTAAAATACTTGGAACGCAACAAATATTGTCCGATATGCGATGTGTTAATTCACAAATCAAAACCATTGACCAACATTCGGCCGGATCACACGTTACAAAATATTGTCTACAAACTCGTCCCACGATTGTTTCAACGTAAGGAAACAATTTTGTTTATTTATTAATTTTTCTTATATTTATGGTTGAATTTTTTTGTTATTTTCAGGAGAAATGGTAATGCGGAAGGATTTCTACCGCATAAACAATATGCAGTATCCACTACAGGATCCGATGAGCATGGGCATAATTCCTGACGATTACCATATTTTCACTCCTAATGACTCAGTGAGCATATGTCTCCATTATGAAAATGAAAATAGTAAAAAGGTATTTTTTTTATTATTTTATTTTAGTCAAGAGGACGTCACAGAGTATACAATTTTGTGAAAAATGTACATTGGTTCCTCAAATACTACCAAGTTGATACTAAATATAGGGACATAAATAATATAATGGTTAAAATATTCTTTAAAAAAAATATACATAGTACTTTAATGAATATTAGCAAATAGGCTTCTTAAATGTTCTACATTAGTTGTTAATCATATTTTTCACAATCTATTTCTAATAAAACTTAGTTAATTTATCTACAAAAAAAATATATGTACATTTTAATTTTAGTCAAATTTGAATTCTATGAAAAATTTTCTATACTGATTGTCATACTAAATAGTGTCTGTGCGTCCACTTAACATTATTAATAGGATTGGAAAATGTTTAAAATTATTGATCATTAAAATGTGTTTTCAACTATTTAAATTAAAAAAACAGAATTATTTTGAAAAAATTTTTTTATAAGTTTTTTTTGTTTTGCAGAGTATACCAGGTGTACACAAACGTTACCTTTGGTGTCCGGCATCACTGCCAGTAGTAAACTTGAAAAAATTTGTGCACATTAAATTTGAACTAGCTTCAGTGGATCACTTTATCGAGCTGTCCCATAAAAATTATCTGTTGGACGATCATCTCACAATAATGGATGTGGTTTATATGTTCGACTGGAAAAGGGTTAGTACATTTTTTTGTAAGCGACGATTATTGTTTTAATACTGTACACTTTGTTTTTGTTACTTAAACATAAGATATAATAATTGATTTTTTATGCCACCACATTTTCATAACAATCTGCTATTTCATTTTAAGAATTATTACTTTGTATTTGTTCAAAAAGAACTCAATTTATATTTGTAGATTTTATTGTAAATTTGATTTAATATTAACTTTGTTGTTTTTTTGGTTTTTCCAGAAAGACCCGCTTACTATATCATACCGAATCCTTAAAATCGAAATTGAATCTGTCGTCAGTGACGTCATGGACATTAAAGATGACAAATCGTTAAAATCTGATGATAGCGTAGACAAAACCAAAGTCAATGTAACAAATTCAGTGCCAAATGATACTTCTAACACGAATATCAACATAAAAGAAACTCCAGTTAAACTAGAAGAAAATAATACTATAATAGACAACAAAGCATCCGATTCCAAAGAAGTACAACTAGAAATCAGCGAAAATGGTATAATTAAGGTGACAAATATTTCTCAAACCAGAGACGCTATTCAACCAAATGTGACTATTGAGCAAACTGCCGACGCAGTTAAAAAGGAAAAAATACCAAAGATAGACGACGACGAAGATAAGAAAAAACTACTAAAGGTGTATCCTGGGTCGAAAATAAAAAAAAATAAACCAAAATTAGATACAATTGTAGAAAAAATTAAAAAACAAAGTAGTACTAAATACAAAACTTTAACATCACCGACTAAGCATTGGAACCCGAGCATATCTAAAACGTCGGTGTTGGCGAAAAAAAAAGAAGTCAATGGTGTAGATAAAAAAAACCAGAAGTTTTTCAAGTCGAGAGAAGAGGACAACAAAAAAGAAGAGGATAAAACCGAAGAAAGTCTGAAGAGACTAGCAGAAGTGCCTTTAATGAAAATTAATCCCCAAACCCTATGTCCGATTATGCCGTCGTCTCCGCCAAAAAAAACTAAAAAAATGACGCCCAAGAAAAATACCTTGGCTCAATCGTTAGCGTTACTACCTGTCCGACCTACAAACCACAATCCATTTACCAGCCCATTAAACCCATTCATGTATGGAGCGTTTACTAATAGTGGCAACAGCGACACTCATGATAGTAACGACTTTCTGAAAGCCATGTCCGAGTTGTGTCCTCCATCATCGACTTACCACAATTCCTTGCCGCCATCGGTCAGTGTGCTCTTCAATCCATTGTATGCACATCACAGACAAAGTCAAGCCAAAAAGACAACAACAACGGCTACGACTTCCCCGGCAGACGTACAGAAATTATCAGCCAACAAGCAGGAAGAGAAAAACGGAGATAAGGACGACCCAAAGAGTAGCGGAGATAAGGCAAAAGACGAGTGTACTAATAATAATAATGGTGAAGACAAAATGGAAGTGGAAAAAGAAATTGAAAAAACGTAAATCTGGTTACCATAAAGTGTTTGATAATTGTTTTTTTTTTATCACATTGTACCATTCTCCATGACAATAATTGTTACACATTCTAAATTCAAATTGGTTAGAAAAATATTTTATTTTCTTACAAATTATTAATATTGTTGGACTTGTACAAAATATTAGGTAGTCGAATTCGAATTTAAATGAACAATTCGAAATCTTTATTTAAATTACTCTCAAATTCTAGTCTTAGATTAAGTTGTGTTAAAAAAAAAACACAAATGTATTTATGTGCCTTCAGTATTTAATTTTTAAGTGTCAATCCCTCACCTTGAGGTGAGAATTAAATGTTATAATAATTATTGCTCAAGTTTTAATTTATACAGGGACATGAAATGTACTTAAATGTTAAAGTTAATTCGCTTCTTACCCATAACCCTTAAAAAAATTAATAGCACTCAACATTTTTCTTAAATTTTATTAGTATAATAATATGTTATACCATATTTTTATTAATTATCAAAAAAAATATTGTGATTTCTGGCAAAATTTTGTTTCCTTTTTACACATTTATGACGACATCAATATTATCTATCATTACACGTTGTTACTACTGTTATCCGTGGATTGAAAACATTACCGAAAATAAACGCCGAAAAATACAAAAATGTTTTCATACCCCGAATTACGTAGATATATTAATTCATCCAGTAATTTTAGGTTTACAAAAACCTTTAATAAGTGTACCTATTGTATGTTGGTATAATAGATTATTATTTTTTGTATACTTACGAACCCTGTTGGTTTTGTTGAACTATATTATGTTAAAAAAACTGTATGTCTTGCACATTGATATAAACAATATATCAATAAATGGAGGTTTTTTTACCGAATATTGTGTTGCTTAATTAAATTAACAGTAATATGTAAATACCCATTTTATATATGTCATGTTATATTTGTTTTAAACAATTAGTTTCATATATTGTTCCGTGAACTTTTTGAATCAACAATTATTATCATAACGTTAAATGTTGTCTAAATGTACATAATTTACGTATAATAATATATATTTTTGTAAATTGTTGTTATAATTAATGTAATTTTTTCAATGAAATCACCAATTCTTTTCTGTAACAATTGTTTTAAGTGTTAAGAGCTGGTAAGGTGTATTGTATTTTAATAATAATAAAAAAATTGATATATTCTTGTTTATTAGACAATTTTATTTAATGGTTATAGTAAGTATGAGTGATATTTCAATCTCATGTTAGTGACTTAAAATTTAGAAATTCGTCCAGAATTTTTAAGAATTTTCCAAAAAAAAAATTAGGCACGCGTATGTTGAAAAATAAATTTCTTAAATATATATTTTTAGTAAGTGGTTTTTAAATTTAATTAGGCCTAAACAAGAAATCAAACCTTAAGGTTCAACCTCCAAATTCAGTAATTTTTTTTTTTAATCTAACTCGCTAACATTTATTAGTAACACGTTAACATTCAAAATAATTCCTCAACTATTATACGTTACCGCCATATTTTTTTATTTTTTTATTTAAAAAACTGACGCATCAAAAATTATAAACATAATTATTTATTTATTTTATACGCTTATTCGAAACAAAACACACAAACGTTTTGAAAAATGGAATTACTCTTTCTTTCTTTTTGCAGCTGTAGAAATTATTTTCTCTCCTTAAATAAAAATTGAAAAACAAGGTGGAACAGAATTGAAAAGCGTTTAAGCAAATAAAAAATGATTTAGTTGCCAAATAATACAAAAAAAAAAAATAGTAACAATTATTAAAAACGACTATTATATTGACACATGTCATAATTATAACTAATTAAATCTAAATACAAATAACATATAGCACTGAGATATTTTAAAAATCATATTAAATTGACATGTTCCTTTTGATATACAAACTTGTTGTTATCTATAGTCTACAAAATGTTTTGTCACGAAAATATAATTTCATTCTGCAAACAAGAAGTGTTATTGAGTTTTTTTTTGCTCAATTTTGAAAGGGAAAGCGATGGACGGACTTTATGCCATATAAGGTCCTTTTGGCGAAGTGATAATTTTTTTATCTACAGACTGAAAATATTATAAATTATAGTTTGTATTGTGTACGGTGTTTAATTAAAGGGCTATCGTTATTCGTTCGTCTAGTCTACATGTAGACAGTAAAAAAAAAAATTTAAAAGCCTTCTCGACTATGTAATGAAGCTAAAAATAGAAATATGATTTTAATACCAATAGCAAATATTTTAAAAATAATAATTGCAGTATAAGAGACAGTATTTAACGTGTAATATAGACAAACGTTCAACTTTCGTTTATATTTAGTAATTTCTGACGTGAGTAACTTTTTTGGTGGTATTCAATTTTTAGCTTCGTTGTCAAGTTAGCTGACTAAGAAAAACTTGAAATTCCAATAATAAATGTTTTTAATGTTTATTGTTTTTTCGTGTAAAAACTCAACTTAAATACTGACTTGTTTTTATTAACCAACCGAATCTTCTACGTAAATCTAAACCATAGTACCAGCTATATCGACTTGGTACGTTTTGTATTTGTTTAATATTTTTGTCAATCTATTTGTTTGAGGTCAAATGAAGAAAAATGGGAGCTAAGTTTTTCATTGGTCTCGTGGAATCCAATAGGTTATGTATGCACAAGACGTAATATACTGACACGTCCTTTGCCTTAGGTACATTTCTAAATATTTTTTATGTTTAAAAAAAACTACAAATTCTACATTTATTCTGAATTCAGGAAAACAAAAAACAACAAGAAGTTACTTAGTTACTCTATTTGAACACACATTTTAGAAAACTATATTCAAACGTACAAAACACGTCGAATATACCACAAAACGGTATTTTCTTACAACTTTAAACCTAGGCGATTTCGAAAATAACAAGTCGTGCTAGAGAAAATTTGAGACCAGATTTGGGTTCAAGGAAAAAAATTATTGTATTTTGGGTTCTGTTACCCCGCTCCCCTTTCCAAAAAAAGCCAATATTTGTTGTAAATAGAAAATATATCACTATGCATGCAAATGTTTTCTAGGGGAGGTGGAAAAAGCCCTTCTAAATTTCCTCCCTAAAAAGTGCCCTATTGTACCCATGGCCACTCGATGGCATTTTTTATTGACACAGAATAGTGGATAATATATTATTTCAAATTTAACGCACATGCCCGTCAACTGTATTTTCAATGTTTTTTTTTTTATTGTCCAGTTGACGGTTTTCGAAAATCGGTGTAGATAACGATAATCAGCTGACGGGTTAACAAATATTGAGTGCTTAGGGCTTATCGTGGAGACCTATGGCAGCTACTAACTGCTGATGTAGTAGACTATAATATAATGTGAAATATTATTATTGAACGGAACTCGCAGAAACGTTGCCCTTGTTTAATCACTGCCGCGTTATCACATTCCAAAACGACCGAACGAGTAAAACTGTTCTAACTAAATTGTTAACTGTCCGTGTTCGTGCTTCATGTGACCGCGAATTAATTAATAAAAAAAAAAAAAAAATTAATAAAGGGGGGAACATTGGTAATGAGGGAAAGAGATAGACCGATTTTGTAATAAGTTACATCGACACACACACACATACACAAAGTAGGTAGTAACATTATACATATTTTTATTGCCTACTACGGTACATTACTCAATCAAATCGTACAGGAACCGGTTGTACTCGTCTCTTGTGAAACATAATAAACCCGAGGTAAGTGTACGACATTTTTTTGTACAGGAAGTAATAATTAACATACATACTTAAAGACAACAAAAACAATAACACAACCACTACAGTTGTAACATGTTCACAGGCGTTTGCAATGCAATTCAATAGAACACACGATTCGAAGACAGTTTGAAATTTGTTTTTAATCTAAATAACTCCTTGTTACCGGTAAATTCAAAATGAGTGATTCCGTACAGATCCCGTCAGCCGTCAAGTTTGTTAACGGCGGTGTAGCGGCGTAAGTATCTACACAAGCGTGAAAAAACAAATGTATTTGCGCGGCTCAATTATCGCGATTTTCTAGAATCGTGGCCACAGTCATTGTCCATCCGTTGGACGTGCTCAAGAACCGTATGCAATTGGCGGGACGCGATGTCGCAGCTAGCGAAGCACAAAAGTCAATGGGATACATCACTCGGTCAATGATCAAAGAGAAAGGGGTTTCAGCATTCTACCCTGGACTATCGGCCGGTATTCTCAGACAGGCTACGTATTCGACTACTCGATTAGGATTGTACAATACGCTGTTCACTTATACTTCTGGGTACTGTATTTACGTTGTATAATATCATAAATTATTAATTATGGTTTTTTTTTTTTTTTGTAAAGGGAAGATAATAAACCGCCAGGTCTGCTGGTCAAACTTGGCATAGCCATGATATCCGGAGTGACGGGTGCTGCCGTTGGAACACCTGCCGAAGTGGCTTTGATTCGAATGACTTCCGATGCCCAGTTACCGGTAGCCGACAGACGTGGTTACACTAGCGTTTTCAATGCTTTGGCCAGGATCGCTCGCGAAGAAGGCATTGCTACTTGGTGGCGAGGATGTATCGCTACTATGGGACGAGCGGCTGTTGTCAATATGGCTCAGCTAGCATCATATTCTCAAGCCAAAGAACTGTATTTAAACAGCGGTGAGTTTTATTTTTTAACATAATACCATTACATTTTTTTGATTATTAAAACACGACAACTTGCAGTTTTATAACTGACTGTTTTTTTAGATTACTTTAAGTGTTTGTAATGAATTGTTATTTAAAACAATTATTGCCAAAGGCTTAAATAAAGGAGTTATAGCGATTTAAGAAGGTCAGAAGTGTGATTTTTTTTTTAACAACATGAACATTAATTGTATTACCCATTTTCAATTAAAATAATAATAATACATCACTAAACACCTATCACCTAGCAGAAATTCTAGGCCCAGACCCTTAAAACATCAAGGAAACAATATGCTCCAAAAACAGGACCCAACAAATTAATTTATAAACCGTTATGTATTAAAAGACTAGTTCACGCCTTTGGTTCCGCAGGTTTACTTGTAACCACAAAACAAAAAAATAAAAGTTGACATGTGATCACAGTTCAATTAAATTCCATCGTACATTAATTCTTAACAGTTTATTGTTTCAACAAATTAACAATTTTTTTAAATACTTAGTATAAAAACCATTTTGTTAAGAAGAAATTATGATCTAATGTGTCGTAAATATATAACGATGACCTTTAACAAAGTCATATAGTAGTATATATTTATAAAAATACCTTTGATATGTTTTACACTGTACATTTTTTTTTATGTTCAACTGAAGGTTTTAATAATAATTAAATTTACTACTCGATATTTAATTAATTATAAAAAAGTGATTAAAGTTTTAATTAATTGTTATTTTATTGTTGTAAACAGGCCGTAAAAATTAAATAATAAAGTATCAACGCAAAAGCTTAATGACATAAATATAATTAAAAACAAAAGATTTTGTGTAAACTATTGTGTATAGATAAAAAATTAAGCAACAGTAGTTTTATCGTTTAAATAGGGAAAGTTATATAATCGACAGTTCCCCCTCGTAAAAAAAAAAGTTTTATCGTTTGATTTATTTATATTATAATTATGTTTCGATTAAAATATATAATACATATAAAATATTATCTTATTATCTAATGTTATGACTTTGTAATTAATAGTACCTACTCTATGAACTTGTCAAGTATTATGTTTATCTTTATTAGAAAAAACAAATATTCAGTTATGAGCTACTCATTTTTCACTTATCTCTCACTCGTTGTTTAAATGATTTTATTAAAAAATATTTTAGAAAAAAAAATGTAGTAAGGAATTAATCTCGCTATTTATTTAAGTGTTATCAACAAACCAAATTGACTTTACAATCGACCTTTTAGTTATTATTTATAATATACATTTGGTAGTATTTTATTATTACTATTATTATTACCATTATCATCATAATCAAACTTCATTAGATATATTTATTAATTTGATTTAATCATTGATATTCAATTCGTAATACCCAATAATTAATAATATCATTACACATTACTACAACATAAATTTGTCGTTTATTATAATGAATTGTGATAGTTATATTATAATTGTGTAGATCAAAATGTGATAAATTCATTTCTTAAGACTTAAACACCGTATAAAACTAAATCGATCTTCTACAATTGACATATATGTATCCAAATGAAAAGCTCAACTACTCCTAACAAATGCATGTGATATTAACTATTTTAATATTACCTAGTTTTTTAAAAAAAGTTATGTAATTAGGTATAACATATTACATTTTTAATATTTACTGATAACTTGATGGAATTGTTTTATTTTTTAGGTTATTTCAAAGATAATATTGTGCTGCATTTTGCATCTTCAATGACATCGGGCGCCATTACAACAGTTGCGTCCCTTCCGGTTGATATTGCAAAAACTAGGTATAAATAAACAAATAATAAACCGTTAATTATTATTGTTCATCGGCGGAATTCAAAAGGGCTTTTTAATGTGATATAATATGCTTTTAAAAATGACCTGTTTTTTTTTTTTAGTGAAGATATTTTACAAAAAAATGCTTTTTGAATTTTGACCAAAACCTGCTTAAATGATTTATATGCACAGTTTTTATTGAAACCTTTCTTACCAATTACTTTTTTCATAAAATATTATTATAATAAATAAATCGTAAATAGACAACGTTATGTAATGATAAATAAAAAAAAAAACATTATTTCTTTAGTAAATACTTTCATATTTACCCAAAAAGTTTGATGTTTGGTTTTTGGTAAAAACTTAATAGGATTAGCTTAATTATTTTGATCACAGATATTAATTTAACTATGTTATTGTAAAATATTGTAGCTTCGATGCAAAGCCAAGGTTAGGGTGGTCTAAAAAAATAATTTTTGTTTAAAGTAATTATTTGGTTTTTACTCCCTTAAATTGTTATTTATACTGTAAAAGTAGCCGAAAAAATGAGACGGTATTTCGTTAGTGTTCATTGTCACTTGTTAGACACTTTGTCACACTGGGCACTCTTTTAGTAGGAAAATGTCTATAAAGAGTAAAACAAACTTCTGGAGGTGACCAAACTAGATCTTAAAGCAGCCAATGTCTGGTTATGAAAGCTAAACAAGTTATAATAATTTATTAAATCACAAAAAAATGAAATATTATAAAATACTGGCTTAGAATAGGACAAAAATTATGTATTTTTTAAACTTACTTTTTATACTATGAAAACAATTAAGGTGGGTAAGAACAAAACTTTCTAAATACATTTTTTTTTAGTACATTCTAGGTACAATGTTGTATTTTTTTTCTATTTTTCGCCTGGAAAACGTTATTTAAAAAAAAAATGTTTGTAGCAATTCCTTGGATTGAAAGACATATACAAAACATACTTAATAATGGCAAAAATAAAAAAATAATAATTGTATGAAATCGTCTGCTACATATTTTTAAATTTACTAAATCACAACTATTATCCGTACTCTAATTATTATTGGCCATCATCAAAATCATTGTTTAACTAACTGCCAAATTGTATAAATCACTTTGTTACTTCATAAATATATTTTTTTTGATAATATTTTAAAATTGTTTTAATTTAATTTTTTTTCTCCAGAATACAGAGCATGAAAATCATTAACGGAGTACCCGAGTATTCGGGTACAATAAACGCGATGGCCATGGTGGTGAAAAATGAAGGATTTTTCAATCTTTGGAAAGGAATCGTACCATATTTCGCTCGCATTGGTCCACATACCGTTTTGACTTTTATCTTTTTGGAACAAATCAACCAAGCTTACAAGACGGCTGTTTATGAGCGAAAACTTATATAATAATTTTAGTAATATAAATAATCCCTAGTGTGGTCATAATAATTTAAGATACTTGTGAAAAAGTACTCGATGTACTCCTTATTTCGGCTTTCACTCGTTTCCAAAAAAACTTGTATTTATTAATTTATTGTTTGTTGGATTTTAGATGTATGTTAATATTATTTATTTTCTCTTGTTAATTTGTACCCTGCTGTTGTTGTTGTTTTTTTTTCTTAATTTAACTAAAAATGGTATACATATAAGTTTAACAATACCCATATTGTAAGACTGTAAAAATTAGTATATTATATTATATTTGTAGGGAAGAACAGTTGTTTAACGGGAACACAAATTGTTGATAAATATTTTATATTTTTAGGCAGCCGAAACGATTTTATCCAAATGTCTAACGGCATCTTTTAATTTATTAACTAGTTCTTGTAGTTGTTGTGGATTGCATACAAAATTAACGTAGTCCGTTTTGCCATTGTCTATTGTCTTCAATCGCACTTTATATAGAAATTCTGATACATCATCAAAGACACTAGACTGAAAAAAAAAAAAACTGTTTTACTATAAAACAAATAGTTACCGATTTTATTGTTGTAAAGCAGCTAAGGTTTACCAAAACTTTGACAATATTAATTATAAGTATAATTTTTTTTTTTTTAATTACAAAATATATATAATATAGTCGTAATATTAAATTCTATTACGTGTGTTAATATATGTAAATGTTATTATATCTTTACTCATGCAGGTAATCACTTAGTATGTTTGGCCTATTTGAATTGCTATTCAATAGTATATTTTATATCAAAAACAAAAATGTATAAACTAAATTTTAATTAACATTTAAGAATAGATTTATTTTATTAGGAGTAATTAAATAAGTAATTAATTAAGTTCGAGTAATTAGATTCTGTTAATTACCTCATTTTTATAATTTTTTTTACTTTAAAAATGTATTATTACTTGGACACAATATTCGAGTTGGCATTCGACGTCGACCACATTGGCCAGTGATGTGTTTGTGGTCATACAAATCTGTACGAGACCAGGTCGAACTGTTTCGTAGTTGTTAACTATTTGTGTCAAACGCTCAGTTTCGGCTAACAATAAAGTTTGAATGTATTGGCTCAATGACGCCGCATCCAAGTTGTGTTGACATGCTATTGTATACAAAGTTACTAAAGAAGCGTAGGCTTCTTTGATGATATCTTGCCTCGACGTAAGCGATTTGAGTTCGTCTGAAAGAATTAAATAATAAAGTTGAGAATGATTTATACATCCTTTCGAGTCCATAACATATCAACACTGACATGGTTGTGCTCGTACGTATTAAATATAATTAAGAAAATTTTTTTTATAATGCATGTTCTTTTTATAACTATTTGTTTTTAGCGGGTTGACTTTTGTTGTTATATAAACCATTTGTTTAGCAACAGTTATTTGACTCGGACAATGAAAATCTACTATAATCAATATTTTATGATCGTACAATGTAGAAGCATCGTCCGACATATTTTGTAAAATATTTATCATGTACCATTTTCTGTTGTCTGCTTGAGCGTTGTATCCATCAATGTATTTAGCGACCGCTCTGCTTTTTGTAATATGGCTCGGAAACAATCATCGTTTACCAATTTTGGATTACATAATCGTTTCACGCCCAGCTGTATTTCTGCTGAAAGTTTCATTACAACAAACAAACCACAAAAATATAAAAATAAAAATTTGCTAATATTTATTAGAATTAAGATATATTTATATGTACTTAGATTTAGAATTTTAGAAATTACATTACGTAATAGCTGATAAGTGTTATCAGCTGATATTATTTTCCTTATCAGCCGGTTCGGTATTAACTTTTATCATTAATCACTATTTGGCCATTTAAATGTTCCAAGCAAGGTGGATTTATTCATAAATCATAATCCAAGCATAGAAAAGAGAAGATTCAGCTCCAATACTTCAACCCATAGCCCATAGGTTCTACTTTTTAGATTTTGTGAAACTTAAATGGTTTTCCTAAACGTTGTTATTTAATTATAACTTTGAAATGAAATTGTTTATTAAGCTTCACTTTAAACAAGTTTTGATACATTTACAATATACCTATATACTTCAATCTCCATACTGTGTTTTGTAAAATAACGATAATATTTATTTAAGATAAGATTGTCGTTGTATTTAAGATTGGGTTCATTTTTTCATTAATTTCTTATCTTGTTATATATACCGTTATATTTTGTAACTGTAAAATGAAATCTAAAATTGTTTATTGACTGTTGTTCGGTTTAATATTACAAACTGTTTGCAATAACAACAGCTAATATTCGAATAAATTAATTACTCAATAATGTACAGCCATTGAAATAACCTTGACATAAGACTGTGATGAAAAAAAAATCAAAATTAGTATCTTGGATCAATTACAAAATAATAATTTTAAGTTGATGAAGTTGAATTTTTTAAGGATGCAAATAATCTATAGATAAGATAAGAGTATTAAATGAGTATCCAATGTATTATAATACGTCTAGTAGGTAACCTCATACCTAAAGGAAATAATTTTAATTATGACTTAAAAGTTATTTGTCATGAAAAAAAAACAGTATTATTAGGTAACCACTCAATCAAGTGGTTCCTAGTGGTATTAGTAATAATATAATAGTAAATGGGGATAACAAATTTTGGGGAGGTATTTTAATTTTACGGTAAGGGGCCTCAAAAGATATTTTGCACTATGGTTCAAAATGTCTTAATCAGGATCTGCCCCCCTTTGAAATTTCTGAGACCTAGCCACTATATAATAAGTTACTTGCAGTAGTTATGTATTATCATAGAACATCAATGTGTTGCATAACGTTTTGGGAACAGTGGGCGTTTTCCCGCGCATTTTGTGCCACCTGCTGCCTGCGCACAAGACCGGACCGTGTTATCACATACACTTGTCCCGTTATCAGTTGTAGTTTTCGTCGAGTCTGTGTGTGTGTGTGTGTGTGTTTGTTTATCTTGTTTACTTGTTGACGGTAGTCGCGAAACAATTATTACTATATAGGTAAATATAATATATATTGTGTCATATTATTATTGTGGTGTTTCTACACGAACCGACCGGTGATTGATTTACGACGTCGTCGTGGTATAAATAGTATATTTTTTCCTATCCCTAGTGATAATCCACACGGGAGAATAAGTGAGACCGTGTCAAAAACAGTCACGTGTGTTTCATATCGTTACTGTGAAAAAATATCTGCGCCGAGTTCGAGTCGGTTCGATTACGGAATTTTGTCTCGCTCGCGTGTCGCGTGTGGAAAAGCTTGCCTGGTGCATGGTCGTTGTCGGTTTCCAGGTTCAAAAGAGGTTCACCGTGTAAGTAGCTGCTAAACAATAAACCTGTTCCTTTAGAATTGAGTGAGCGCAAGTCGTAAAGTTGCCATTTTCAGGTCATTATACTTTTGCACGTAGAATCTGATTTTGGCACAAAGCCGAACGATCGGTTACGGTTTACATTGAAAATTCTCCTTTTATCATTCGTGCAAGCATCATGCCAGTGTAGTTCCTCGTAAGAGCGTATGCTAGACAAATAACATTTTTTATGACCTCCATAAAAGTTGGCATAGGTAGCTAATTGGTCTGGTTTTATGGTACATATTATATTATTGTCCAGTTATGTTCATTATCCTCAACGGGCATTTTACGCGTCAAAAAAACTACACATGCAAAATCAAGAGTAATTTGTTATTGAGTGGGCAATTTAATACTTATTTAACACTTCAATGGGTGAAATAATATTTTTTATGCAAACAAATTATATTACAATAACATAACATAGAATTCATTTATAAATTATAATATTACGTTAATGTAATTTGAAAAAAATCGAAAATTCCATATAGGATTTATCGTACTTGACAATTAACAACTAATCGTGTTCTCGACATGAAAAAATTGAGGCAAATGAGCATTTCAACACATTTAATAATGACCTCGGTTTCAGTACAAGTTGATTTTTTTTTAAATTTGTGAACGAATAACATCTATAAAAAAGAAGTGTGGACCTTTTTAACGATGGTGTTTTACCTTATTTAAACTACTTTGACAGATAATATGAAATAAATGCCTTTGAATATTTTCTAGTTTGTTTTTCAGAACCTAAATGGGTTTCAGATAACTGAACTAAATTCAAGGTCTGATCTCACGAAAGCTATGTATAAAACATTTAATAATTTAAATAATTAGGAAGATTTTGGAAGGGTTTCTTTGAATTTCGAATAGCTTGATAATTAATCGGTCATTTACCTCATTTTTTACTCTGCTAAATTCATATTGTACAACTTGTGTGTAAAGTGTATACAGAATTATTGTATAATTTGTATGTATTATTATTAACCTTGAACTGTATGTTTTTTAATTTTTAAAATTATTAAGTTACTAAAAAAATAATGAACATTATTATTGTACATTAAAATTCTATTTTATATTTAATTTATTATATAATATATGGATAAAAAATGTTGTTAACATTTGCTGCTTACGGCCAATAACTTGACCGGAACATTTTTAAATACGCTACAGGTAGTAATTTTGTTAGTTCAAATATTACCTATAAAGTGATGTGTTTCGCATTGGCTATTCATACTGGTTATTGACCTCAGACAGGTTATTTTGTTTTAATTGAGTAGTTTAAAATCCGAGCTGGTTCCTAACCAAACAAGATTCATCGTCTAATTAATTAATATGATTTTTATTATGTTTATCATTAATAAATTATAACAGAGTGAAATGTGTTTCATAAAAATTTAGTAATAAAAATTAATGCTGATAGAAAAGAAAAGTCAATGAAACGACGTTAAAAAATTTTTCTTTGCTTTGTCACCAAACTGAGAAGGTATTTTTATAATTAAAATCATGTTATGTAAATCGGCGTTGACATTAGGCTTAATGTAAAATAGTATTTTATATTATACATAACAAAATTGTTTACCTTTTAATATGGAGTTGAAAGAGCAGTATTGATTTTCTATAATTTTCAATTATAGAAATTATAGTTTTTCGGCAGTGTTGTTACTAATTTTTTTTTGAATCATCATTAAGTAATCATTTGAGTTGGATGACGTAGTTTAAGATTGTGTTTTGTTGTCTAGTTAGTTTTGACGGTACTTCCATTTCTTTGTTGTTGATTTCATTTATCTAAGATTTGTCCCTAAAATTTTTTATATCAGCTTTTTTGTCAACCGTTGATTAAACTAACATTATTTCTATTGTATTGTGTTGTTTTATGGAGATGTTAGTTTTTTCTATTATCCGTTTTAGTGCTAAAATTTAATAATGAATACATAGTACATTTATTTATTTTTTTTTTAGTTTAAAAAATTTCAAAAATACATTTAATAAGTGTTTGGTAACGTGTAAAAATTATCAGTTTTTTGTAGGCTAGCATATTATGCTGGAGGTAGGTACGGTTGGGTTTCACATAGTTAGCAATTGTAATTTAAATATTTTTTTCTACATTAAAAAAATATATTATATAATATCATAAAATAACCAGATTAATATCTAAGCATACAAATATTTTAAAATCCACATTTAAAACTAGAGATGAGCCGTTATTGTATTTCTGGTGACTGTTATTCCAATAAGTTTTTTTGATTTTTAACTGATAACAGAGTTTTTTGAAATTTGTCGTTTTAATTTTAATACTAAAATCAATAAGCTGATACTAAAAAAAATATTTTATAATCAATTTAAACAGGTTATTTTTTTCTATAAATATTGGGTAGATTATAGGTTTTCAATAAATCAAGTTTCTGGTATACCGTTAAGACATGTCGATATTCACTTCTATTTAGTTTTTTTTTTCACTGTTAAATATTTTGTACACCAGATTACTGGACATTTTTCGAGATTACTTAGTGTTATTAATGGGTTCTAATGATTAGAAAAACAATTGTACAATAATCACAAAGTATAGGGTTTTCTCTATGAGAGTACTGATGTATAAAAATGATGTTCTTAAATGTTAGTATAATTTTCCTTTATGGTTGTATGTATAGATTGCTGTAATTTTCATTTAAATTTCCAATGGAATTTTATCATCAAACACGTTTTGGTGCACATGCAGTGCTTAAATTGGCATAAAAACACTAGGACGTGCACTGGTATCGAGTTAAAAAATTGTGCGTTCCCTAGAGCAAACTTTTTAGTACCCCGGGGAGGGGAGGGGGTAAATTTGTTTTACAATGGTAGTTCCGCCCCTTTCCCTCCCCCTATTTCAAGTATTGGGGTTTTGTAAATCGTGCTTACACTACCTCACGTTCGGGGTTCAAAAAAGCCATCGATTTTTTTTGCACAGTTAAATTAAGCTAATTGTTTGCACCCAGTGGGTTTTAACGGGTTAGACCCAATATTCCTAACCCTGCTCCCGGTCCTCTTATTATGAACACTTCAGATCAACAGTGTGGTGACATTAGACAACCGTCAAATCGGTAGCAAAACGTTTTGACCACAGGATGGTCATAACTGTGTTTCACGTACGTCGTCGCGTTTATTGTGCGGACCGACTGGCGTTGAGAATGACAGTAATAATAAATAATAATAATAATCATTCCGCCTAATCTGGACACAAAATCTCGGTCGTTCTCGGGAACAGATAAATTTCAATAGGATATCGCACTTTGGGGATTCGATTTATCGAGGAGGATTTAATTTAATCGCACGCGGGACCCGTGCATGGAAACGGCTTTGATATAGTTTATGATTTGTAACTAACTACCGGCTACAACGGTTTTGGGATCACCGCAATGACAG